TTGCCCCATCTGTGTAATCTCAGCTCCAATGAAACATAAGCAGAAGACTTGAAAATAAGACAAAAAAGTAAAGGTAAGTGGAAAATAACGCATCACACAAATCCACCCAAAAATAAAACCACTGTCATCTACCAGCTATGCCCACAAATATGACATTTTGCCATAGAAAGGTCAGCATACAGACTTATACCTACCATTAGATAAAATCTATCAATTACTGATAACAATCTTGAAGCATTTTGAAAAACCAAAATACAGGGAACCAGCAGTTAGCGTAATGGCTATGTCGCTGGACTCCCACGTAGTCGACCGCAGTTCGCGTCCCGGACCCGGTGGCTTAAAACTCACGCCGGGCGCGTGTGCGTACGTGCCCAAGATCCCGAGAGGAGAATGGAGGAGAAGGGATTGCTGCGTGACCATCCCCCCGGGGGGTGATTTCTCGCTTTCTGTCTCTATGTCTCTCTCTGTCTGTCTGGCGAGCGCACGCGCCCTATAGCAAAAAAAAAAAAAAACCTCTCCAAAAAAAAAAAAAAAAAACCAAAATACACAATCCCAAATTTATAAATTCTCAAAGTCAGGCATTACTTTAAAAATTTTTTTTTTCATAAGAGCAAGATGGAAAAAAACAAGCACCCTCAAAAGGATCTCTTGCCACAATCTCCCCTCTATCTACTGGCATACATGAACTGAACCTTCAGTCTACCACATGGATCCAGCATTGGTTAAGCAGCACACCACCACTGACCACTTGGCTAGTCAAGTAGATAATTTTTATGTCTACACCAAAAAAAAAAATCATGATTGAAAAAATTTTGTTTCCTATAAGCATAATATTGTGCTAAAATAGATTGATGCTTTAGAAATTTAAAGAAATGACCCAGGTTTCAGGATATTCAGTGCAATTAGACTTTCTCAAGTTCCGCCAAGTTGTGATATTATACCATGGTATATGAGTACTAGAAAAATAAGTCAAGAGCTTTTTTTGTAATATCGCCCCCCTCCAAAAGACGTCTTTTCTTTAAATACATTTGTAAGAAAATATTCTGGCTATTAACTACCCACTGAATGCTTACTATGTGTCATGTACTCAGCTAAATGTCACTGTTTCATGTAATCCTTTAATCAATTACACCCCAAAGGTAGGTGTATTATTCAGTTTACAAATAAAGAAACTAAGGCTGAGAGCAAATTGCCCAAGATGAAACTAGCAAGCGGTAGATCCAGTATGCAAACCTGGGATTGTATGGCCATTACACCACACTGCCTCTCAACACATACTGGCTCCTACTGGTAAAGAATAATGGGTACCAAATGCTTGGTGATGTGCTAAATAGCTTACATACATTATTTGATTCATCCTCTTAAAATTATATGAATATTCATTTTATGAGGGCATTCACATCATGAGACATTTCCAGAAATTTGCAAAAGCGTAGGCCTATGGTAGCTGGAGAGTCAAAATTTGAACCTTAATCTGACTCCAGAGATAAAGAACTACCTCCTATTTACATACTTAATACACAGAACTGGATATATAGTCTGGCTGTAACTTGCTGAGACTATTATCTCTGATCATATATTTTAATATTAACATTATGATGATTAGTTTGGTCTGTATCATTTCATACTAAAGAGTATTTTAGAATTATTTTTTATTGTTTTTTCTTTCTCCTTCCTTCCTTCCTTCCTGTTTGACTAGAGGAGGACAGAGAGAGAGAGACAGAATGAGACAAAGAGAAAGAGGGAAAGTGAGAAAGCAAGCCGCCAGGGGACTTGAACCATGGTTGGCCATGTGGGAGTGTGGCACCCTTAACCACCACACCACCTGCCAGTCCCCTAAAGTGTATTTTAAACATTCCAGTATTCCATAACATCATTATCTATTTCCAAAAATGTCTGCTAAATTTAAACCTTAAAGGTAAAATTCTAACCTCAAATGACAACATACCTAAGATTCCAAGTAATATTAACTAAATGCTGAGCTTTACAGCATCTAAATTTTGAGAAAACATTTTTTGTTTTGCATCGCCATTATTACTGATTAAATCACTTCTATATTACCAATAGCAATGCTCTTCTAAGAAACTGTGAGACACTATCAAAGCTTTCATATCATAAAGATATGAAAAATTCTCCCTCAAGTGTCAAAGGCCTTACACAAACAAAAACATTTTAAGTCTATGCATTCCCTTCTGTTCATAGTCACCATTCATATACAGAGCAGTAATTCTTTCTATACACAAGAGGACTTCAAAAAGTTTGTGAAGGGCTGGCCTCAGAGCAAAGCAGTTAAATACTGTGCAGAGGGCAGTATCCTAAACTGGTAAATTCATTTTACAAGCTAAGTGATGTACGGTGACTGAATGTATAAAATAAGCTTTAAAAATTTAAAAAAAGAAATATAAAAGAAAACAACAACAAAAACATTGTGCAGAGGGTCAGATCTCACATGGCTGACCTTGGTTTGAATTCCAGCTGAGCAACTTAAAACACACAGCAGGTGGGGCCACCATGTGGTGCTGTGGTGAAGGTACTGGATTCCTACATGACCAAGGTTTGAGTCCTTGACTCAGTGGCTTGAAAAATCATACCAGGTTGGTGTGTATGCGTGCCCAAAATCCCAAATGGAGGAGAGAACAGATTGCACTGGGGCCATCCTGGAAAAAGTAATTAGTTTATCTTGGTGCAAAAAAATTTGAGATCCTTTTTATTTTGTTTTTAATTTTGAGAGATTTTTGCTACAGTTCATGTGCACTCACTGGAGAGACAAAATGTGAGAAATTATCCCTAGGAGGGTGACTGCACCACAATCCCCTCTCCTTCATTCTCTTCTTGGGACTCTGGGCATACACATACAGGTGGCCAGAGCAAGTTTCAAATTGGTGGGTCTGGGACTTGAACTGTGGTTGGCCATGTGGGAGTTCAAGACCTTAACCACACCACCTGCTTCCCCAGAGATCCTTATTATTATTATTATTTTTGGGGGGAAGAGTTTTTTTTTTTTCTGCTTTAGGGCATGTGTACTCTCGCCAGACAGAGAGAGACAGAGACAGAAAGCGAGAAATCACCCCCCAGGGGGGATGGTCACACTGCAATCCCTTTTCCTCCATTCTCCTCTCGGGATCTTGGGCATGCACGCACACGCACCCGGCGTGAGTTTTAAGCCACCGGATCCGGGATGTGAACCACGGTCGACTACGTGGGAGTCCAGCAACATAGCCATTACGCTAACTGCTGGTTTCCCTATTATTTCTTTTTAAACAATAGGTTTTTTTTTTTGTTTGTTTGTTTTTTTGTTTTTTTTTTTGCTATAGGGCATATGTGCTTGCCAAAGACAGAGGAAAAAAAAGAAAGAAAGATATCACCCCCTGGGAGGATGGCAACACCACAATCCCTTCTCCTCCCTTCTCTCAGGATTTTGGGCATCCATGCATATGTGTCCTGCTTGAGTTTCAAGCCTCTGGGTATGGGATTTGAACCATGGTCAGCAATGCAGGAGTCTAGCCACATAACCATTACACCATCTCCTTATTCCTATCCTTACCTTTTAATAACACAAATTTTCCATGAACGTTTTGAAGCCCTATTATATACTTGTGCTGGCTAAATGATACAAGTTACAATCTATTTTAGAAAAAATGTGAACATTTAACTTTTTAAAAATTACTTTTAAATTATATTTATTTCATTTGACCAGAGAGAGACAAACAAAGAGAAAGAGAGAAGAGAGAAAGCAAGCTACCAAGTCCAGTACTTGAACTGAGGTCAGCCATGTGGGAGTGTCCAGTGCCTTAACCACTACTGATGGCCCCTACTTTCACTTTTTTTTTTAAAGTCACTTCTTGATAGTATTTAACAACTGTCCAGTCCTTAACATTCTGTATTAAACCATGACTTTTCAAATATAATAAAGTATTATTAAAAAAGTTTAGAATAAGCATACCTTAACTTCCCATGTAAGAAAATATTTTAGAAAATGTGAACATTGTAAAAAATTAGATATAATTTCCCTTGGGCCAGGTGGCAGCATGGTAGTTAAAAGTAGCTAAATCCCATTCAGCCAACTGGAAGGTTCAAGTCCCAGACTCAGCAACTTAAAGAATATGCCATGTGTGCATGTGCGTGTGTGTGTGTGTGTGTGTGTGTGCATGACCTTCACTAGTGCTTAAAATTCCAAGAGGAGAGATGGAGAAGGGATTGTAGTGTGATCAGACCCATGGGGGTAGCTTTCTCACTTTCCCTCTCTCCTCCTCTCTGGTGAGCAAACATGGCCCCTGGCAAGCTTTGTTCATTTTTCAGGGTTTATTTTGAGACTCCTCATTATTTTATGGTTTTAACAGCTAGAAAGGGTGGGGAACTTGAACTCAGGAAACTGGCAAATCTTAGAAGTGTATTTCATAAATAAAAACTTGTACAATATTCATGCCATCTGTTCTTCTCTTTTGTTCACTAAATATGAAAAGGTTTTAGCATGAATTTGCTCACTCAATTCTTAGGCCACAAAATAAAGGTCAACACACTTAAACTTTCAGCAGATAATTAAAACAGTACTATTTTACATAGCAAGTAGACAAAGAACAAGCAGACTGATAATCTGAGTTGATTCAAAGATTTTTTTTTTCAGTATGCTTTATTAACCTACCATGGACCCAGTGACGTTTGGAGTAGATACCGTGATTTCAGTATTATGAAAGATTAAAAAAAAAAAATACCTCCCAGAAATAGTCATCGGTACTTCTGTCACACCTGAGCTGACCAAACACTGTAGGCCAACTGGTCAAAGTTGATTTTATACATCTGATTAAAATTTTTGCAGAAGTGAAAATATATTAACACTCCAAGTTAAACATTATTCTCCTAGTGCCTCAAGTAGTTTATTAGTACTTATTGTCCACATTTCTATAAATATAAACATTCTAAGTGACCATCACTAGTGCAGGTATATTTAACGTATGAGAGCTCCACAGGAAGCTACTTTATTCTGTGTGTAACAAATTCTAAGTGACCATCACTAGTGCAGGTATATTTAACGTATGAAAGCTCCACAGAAAGCTACTTTATTCTGTGCGTAACAAAGATAAAAGTTCCAAAAACTCAGTAGTGCCACTGAACAAAAGAAAATATTAAAAAAAAAAAAATGAGAAGTGCCTTTCTTTTGATGATTTTCAGAACAAACAGTTGTTGGTGCTAATTTGCTAATATGATCATTGGAAGTCTCTGGTTGTAGATAAGAATTATCGTACATACTAAGATCTTTCCTCCTTATAGCTTTTCATTTTAATGTAAACAGCACCAGTGAATTTTCCTTGAACAGCTTTGCTACTTTCCCCTTCATTTTCTATAATCATAATTCTTATCTGCATGACTGTACCATTTCTTTCTCCCTATATTGAGAACTGGACGGCATGTGTAACACTGTTCAGTTTGTAAACAAATTAAAGCTCAGAACACATATATATCTTTTACATTTTCATTCCACAGCGCATCAAATGTTTATAAAGCCATTACTCCTCCCAAAACACTACAAAAATATATGAAAAACCACATCTGTTTTCAACCAGCAAACATTAATAGAACAAATATCCAATAACTGGAATATTTCAGAGACCACGTATTGTAATTACAACCTCTTGAATGAATTCATCACTTGCTTTCTTCATAAATCCATATATGGATCCAAGCATACGCATTTATGATTAGTCTACATGTTCGTATTTACTATAACAGTCAAATTACTTTATTTTAGGTTCAAGTGAAAGTGCTTCCAACAATTTCTATCATAGCCCTAAGTCCCAAAAAAGTTGTTTAAAACTTGTGCAGAAAAGATGCATAGCTATTTCTAAAAAGACGACACACCAAAACATGCTTTGCCAGAAAAACTAACCCATGCACTTGAATATACCCCCAAATACCTTATTTTTATTAAAGTCAGACCAATTTAAACATTGTCCAGAATTAAGATATAATTATTAAATTATTTGATTTCAGAAAATGTCAAAAATCATTTGGCCAAAACATAAAAAAAAGGCAACACTTCTCCTCCTTGTCCCTTACATCAAAAAAAGAATGGACCAATGTGATCAATATGACTGCATATGCATTAATCTACCTTAACATTTCAATTCATTAGCATTTTATCATAACATAAAAAGCCTTGTGTGCAACTTCTTTGCAAAGGCTTACCCCAAAAAGATATAAGCACAAAACACTAGGCAGACACTCTTCAAAGTTTTATTTCACTAACTTCAGGTCAAATTTCCATAGCTGTTTTCTGATCAATTAATTATCTTTGTTTGGCTTCCCAAAAACAGTAGTACCGAAAGATTGTGGGGTAGAGAAGAGACCACTTTAAGAAGCACCGCATTTACTCATCTTCCACAAGGCAACAAAGTTGGGCATCTGATTGTTCAGTAAAACAAAGCTTGAATAGCATCCAGGAGGGCAGACAGGCAAACCAGGCTGTAGACACTCTTCCATTTGTCAAAATCAGACAAGAGATAACCTACTCCACACAGATATAAAAGGTACTATTCATCTTTTCTTTTTCTGTTGCCGCAACATTTTTCTTCTTTTAATTATCATATCATGTAGTTTCTCAAGTCCTTCCTTTAGTCCATCTCCTATGATTGCACAGGTAGGCTGCAAATGCCATGGCGTTGATGAGCTCAGTTCACTCATTGCTAACAATTTCTCAATTTCTGAGAGAGACAATGAGTTCCTCAGGTCTTGTTTGTTAGCAACTATAAGTACAGGGACTCCTTGATTTTCTGATATCCTTGTTATTTTATGAAGTTCAGTTTTGGCTTCTTCCATCCTTTCAACATCAACAGAGTCCACAACAAACACAATTCCATCTGTGCATCTGGTATATGACTTCCACAGTGGCCTTAATTTCTCCTGACCACCGACATCCCAGAAATGAAAAGTGACTGTTTTAGAATTTCCCAAGGTTACCTTAATTTTCTCAGTGTTAAATCCTTTAGTAGGTACAGTATTTACAAATTCATTGAACTGCAGCCTGTATAAGACAGTTGTCTTTCCAGCACAGTCCAAACCCAGAATTACAATGTGGAAGCACTGAAATGAAGGCAGGCTAGAAAGGATAGAAGTCTGGTCTGACAATCCATTCCCCATTTCCAGCAGCAAATAAATGGAATTGCTCTCTTCTGACTGCTTTAGAACTTCTCTTCCTAGGTGATCCAGCTACAAGACTGCTGAGGAAAATGAGTAGATTATTCTCATGAAATAATACATTAAAATGGATTTTCATAGTATTTCTACTAAAATAACATGAGGTGTTTGATAAAACCTGCTTTAGTAAACAAACCAGATGAGATACAAATGACAGAATAATGGTGATTCAAATTGATTCAGTTAAATTGTGGTAATGCGTACTTTACTCTCCTTTTTTTACTAATCTCGCCCCAAACTTAAAAGACCTCATTCCAGTGTCTGGTACAAGCCGCTGGTAACCATAGAAGTGCATTT